GGCCGCCGCGCGGGGAGCAGGCTCCGAGTCCGCCTGCCGGCCTCCTCTCGGGCTCGCGAGCGGCCTCCCCGCGCTCCTCCGGGAGCTGCGAGCGCGCGGGCTCCTCTCGCTCGTCGCCTCCCGCGTGCTCACCGAGTTCGCGGCTCCGCCTCGCTCTGGGCGCAGTGTGCGTGTGCCTCGGACCGGCGATCTGGAGAGACGGCGGCGGCGGAGTGATGTAATTAAACTCTGCGTGTGTGTGTGCGTGTGCGTGTGCGGCCGGGGGGCTTGCCCGTGGGAGATCACGCTTAACTTCCTTCTTTCGCCTTCGAAGCTACAGGCTGCGTCGGAACCCGGTCTTCCTGCGTGCTGTCGTCTCTGAGCACACCGTCCTGAGCCCAAGTTTGCACTCTCTTGCAGAAGTAAATGTCTTGGCTTCCTGAGAGAACGCAAGCTGAGGACAGGAAGAGCATCTTGTGAACACCTTCGGAATGATCTAGTTTATTTTCCCTGCCGTCACCCTCCACCCTTGGCGTCATACCATACCTGATAGGAACTGGTGGTCCTTAGGTCCATAAATATGCACTGTGAGGCTCATACATCTGAGTATCAAATGCATACAGGAGAGGACGCACGTGCTCTGTTTATCCCTTGTCGCTGGGGCCTAGCCCGGTGCTGCTAACGCACGCCTGAGCATCAGCCTTAGCAGGCCTGTGCTGGGGGCTCTGCTACTAGTTTGCTGTGAAAGCTCAAACAGGGCACAACCTCCGAGCTTCCTATACCTAAAAATTAACTGGTTGCTTCAGATGCCCCCTAAAATCCCTTTTCCTAAAATTCTGTAGTTGTGTGATTACAACGTCAGTGCACCCCAGCTCCACTGCTGCTGCTGAGAAGTTCAGGTGAAGATTTGTAGAAGGTGAACAGGCTTTGAAAATTACCAAGAATTTCTCAAAATCCGAACCTTTTTCAAACAGTCTGCTTCTACGCATAGAAATCCCTTCAAATTTCTTCTTGCAGGCTATCACATGTCTAATATTCTTGGGCACATGGTAATTACTAAACTATTTACTCGTTGTATTATGAACAGAAGAAAAACAACAAAACAGTACTCAGCATCTTTCTGTTGAAAGTTTTTTTTCATTTTCACACTTAGAATTGTAACTTTACTGACAAGTATGCACTCTGGGTTTGTGGTGAGACGTCCTTGAAAGTGAGAGAGTGATGCTTGCTCCTCAGTAAGTGAGAGCCTTACTGATGCTGCCTACAGGAAACCCCTATGCCAATCCAGAGAGGGGTCCTGGAGGAATTGACATACTTGTTGTTTTTTAGGATCGGTGTAAGGAAAGCGCAGATGCAAAGAGAAAAGCATCTGTGCCTCACTGACCAGCACCTAGAGAAAGAAGGGTCTCTGCTGTCACTAGGAGCACGGATGGACTGCTGTTCCACAAAGGCCCTCACTGCGATCCCCTGCATCCTCCTGAAATAAGCACCTCTCCGAAGACTCTGGACTGTCCCTGTGGAAGAGCAGAGCCAGAGGTCCTCTCTCTCCCCAGGACTGCAAACAAGGCTCTTGGTTAAAACCCGGAGGGGCCATTCGCTTCTCCTCAGAAAGAAATTGAGAGCTTTGCAGGATCATTTGCTTAATGATTCTGTCTATGCCCTGCTAACCTCCTTTCCTGGCTGGATACTTGTGTGGAAATCCCTCCAAGAAAGGAAAAGCAGATTAAAGAATCAGAACCCAAATAAGTTCCCATCCAAAAATAGGACCGGAGAAAGCAAAATGGGAAAGAAGAAAATTAGCAGATTCAGACTGTTTGGCTTTACTTTAGTATCACTGCAGGAACACTTAGATTTAGTTTAAAAATGCAACTTTTGCTGAAGAAAATTGGTATGAGTCGATTTTTCTTTTCTGGAGTATGGTTCTACCATCTTTCTGAGTTCCCCTGTTAGAATGAAGCCACTTTCAGTTCCTTTGCTGGGAGTTCATAAAGGGAGACAATATGTTCAATGCCGGATTCTAATTATCCAAGTTAGAAAAAAAAATTGCACAAATGTGGATGAAATTGACTGAATAACTGTGAAGTAATGTGGTGGGGGCATTTTTATTCATTGCATTTGCTCTGGCTCTACTCCCCATTAATTTTTGTCAGCAGGTAGAAAGGGGAAGTACCAGTACTTTTCTAAGGTAGTCTCCTTTTTTAGAAAATAGCGAATAATAGGCTAGTCTGCACAGAGAGTCAGTTTCTAAATGCTTTCATTCTAGCAGTGTAGTAAGCAACTCAACCCAAGGAGAATGAGTCATTTACTATGGCAGTATTTGTTTTCAAAGCCAGCAGAATAATTCATTAATAACTCTTGTATGGAGTTTGTTCAAGATGGTGTGAAAAATATGTCACCCAGAGTTGAGTCTTCCTTTTGGTCAGTGCTCCTGTGAGCTGGCACTCCAGCCTCTGCCTCTGTTCCTACCCCACACCCACTCCGTCCCACCCTTCCTCTCCTTTGCTCAGCTCCAGTGTGAGCTACAAGAGCTCCAAGAGCAGCACCACTGACCCATGTTTGTGCAGAAAGAATAATAAAACTTGGTGATATATTTAATTTTAATCAGAAAATTAGAGCTCGTTTAGCTTGCTAACATTGGACTACTCGTGAACATCGTTATATATGTATACATATATATATAAACTATGAATATATGTGTATGTATTTGAATGTAGAGAGATAAAGGCAGAAAGAGGGAGAGAGACAAAGGAATTTGAACATTTTTGGGCCATAGACTGATTAATTGGCGTAATAAAAAAATCTTGGGCATCTACCCTACAAAGAAGCAAAAAGAATAGATACTGTGAAAGGGAAAGAAACTGCTCAAAGGGAAGGAACAACTGGGAAAGAAAGAAAAAGAAAAAGAAAGAAAGAAAGAAAGAAAGAAAGAAAGAAAGAAAAAGAAAGAAAGAAAGAAAGAAAAAGAAAGAAAGAAAGAAAGAAGGGAAATATATAGAGAGAGAGCTGGGATAATTGTACTGCTGATGTGTATTAGTTTATTGAAAGGAACAGTCAATGCTTAAATTTTTTGACCAATTTTGCATGCTTATATCTGGTAATCTGAACAAACAATTTGAAGACAACAATATGCAATATAACAACTATTGGTTAATTCCTACCATCTTGTCTAGTGAAGCTCTGTATCATTTCTAATGTTTTTTATAAGTTATTTATTCCCTTTAATGGTCTGATCAATCTTGCATTCGTATATCTGGTAATCTGAGCAACTTCATTGAAGATAACAATATGAAATATAGCAACCACTGCTAATTCCTATCATTCTGTTTTGAAACTCTGTGTCATTTTAGTGTTTTTATGTTTTGCTTTATCTATGTTACTGTTATTTTGTTTTTAAAAATTCTCTTTAAAATAAAAAAAATTTAAAAATGTACAACATGCAATTTCTGGTCACTGCTTAATATGCTTCACCAGTTTAACGTTGCAAGCAGAGTAAATCCAAACTCTTGCACGGTCTCCTAGGACGTTTGTGATAAGCTATGGCAGCAACCTCGCTCGTTACCTGCCTGCCCCAGCCATTCAGGGCAGTCCGTCCTCCAGTGTTGCTAGTCTTTCTCAAATTCACTGACTTTGCACACACAGCTCCACCTGCCTGGAATGCCCATGTCATGTGCACTGCAATGATCTGACCCATCTTCTTTGAAACTTCCACTTTAAATGTACATCCTTAGAGCTTCCTCTTTCCCTCGTTTGGGACATGTGGGGAAATAACGTAAAGGGAGTGGGACATTCGCTGTTCTCATAATCTTACTACAGGAGCTACAGGTTAACTCTTGTCCTGGCTTTGCTTCTCTTCCTTTTCCTAGGTTTCTCCATTGCTGATAACTTGGCCTCAGCTGGCACTAAGTCACACTGTGTCCCTCCTCATTAGAACAATGTATTCTAAATACTTGGCTTCCCTTGGATACCATTGAGACAAGGTGTCTTGCATTTCAGATAAATTTTCATAAAGAACTGGGGAAAATAATGTGCAAAATATTCTCATTGTCTGCCAAGGACATGATAAGACTTTCAAAACTGCCCTTTAAAATACTTCAGGTATCAACAAACATGGGCCTAGGTCTGAATCCAGTCACTGTATCTCTTCCCATAAATCCAATCTAACTAGTTTTAGCAAAAAGACTTAAGCCCTCTTATCTGCAAAAATAAGGGTAAGAATATCTATTTGACTCATGAGGCTGTTATAAAAGTTAATTCAACTTTGTATAT